CAAGCCTAGTTGGGTGTCACGACCCAATTTATCCTATAGGTCGTGATGGCGCCTAATGTCGTTGCTAGGCAAGCCAACAGTAAACTAACCATGTGATTGTTCTTTTTAATAATTTCAAGTAGTTGAATTTTATTTAGTAAGAAAATAGGAAGTGGAAAATTTGATAAAGTAAAGCGTAAGCTAATGAAAGTGCAAATACAGTGAAATAAATATCCAAAAGCAATAAAATGTCTACTAGCAGGTTTCCAAGACCTGGTATCACAAGTGTATGAGCAACTAGTATAATATACAAAACACTCTGTCTGAAATAGAGTAGACAGAAAGTAAATAAAAAAGAGAGATTCCGATGCTGCCGAGCGGACTCAGAAATCAGCTCACCACTAAGCCTCGAGGTAACGGGGGTGCACGCCTAACTGACTGCTAGATGCACCTCCCTTATACCCTGCATGATTAGTGCAGAAGTATAGCGTGAGTACATAAACAACATGTACCCAGTAAGTATCCAGTCTAACCTGGAAGAAGTAGTGACGAGGGGTCGACATCGACACTTACTACGGGCCAATAACAAAAAACACAGAAATTCTAAATAAGCATGGAATACATGAACATTAATAATAACCTAATGACCAGCAATAAATAAATGGTCCTCTAACTGATATTCGATTTAAAAATCTCGAATTGACGCATGCTAACTTCAACTATTTCCGGCCATTAGATAAATAATAACCTCTCAAGTCATAAAAATAATATCAAGTATATTTGGGCTCCAAGCATTATCACGCACGATTTATGCTGTGATCGTACGACCAGATCCAAAATAATGTGTACACTGCCAAGGGTCGAGTGGCATGAACATAGATGTATCCATTATACTACCAAGGCATTCGACCCGCTGCACAAGAAGAGGAAATACTCTATGAATATCCGATTTAGGAGCTACAACCAGACTAATACACAAGGAAGCACAATTTCTATTAAAGTTCAGTAATCCGTCAAAACTCAAAGTAAGTGAAGTTTGATCTTTACGGATTTCCTTTATCAAGTTTCAATGTAATTTAGGCACATAAATTAACAAGTAGAGTGTAAACAATACAAGTATTTCATGATTTTTGTCTTAAACTACCTAGACTTAGCATGATTAGTAGCTACGCACGGACTCTCATCACTTCGTACGTATGTAGCCCCCACAAATAGAAGCAAATAGTAATTTAGAACACCTACGGGGTAAATTCCTTCTTACAATGTTAGGAAAGAGACTTACCTCATCTCAAAGCTCACTTTTCGGCCCACAAATTCGTTCTAAAGCCACAACTCGGTGTCGAACAATCCGAAACTAGTCAAATATTATATAAATTAATCAATACATGCTCCAAAGTTCATAACTTAACTATTAGAGTGATTACCCAACCCAAATTGGAAGATTAGTAAAATTCACCCCCAGGCCCACATGCCTGGATTCCAAAAAATTTCGAAGAAAATTATTACCCATAGCCTCACGATCTCAAATATGTAATTTTTACTTAATTCCATAACCAATTTCGTGGCCAAATCTCATTTTTTACCAAATCCTAGGTTTTTCTAAAAAAATCCAATTAATTTAACCATTTTTCCATGTTAAATCTACCTACGATTCTCTTATTTAGCTAAAGAATTGATAGGGATCACTTACCTCTTGATGTTGATGAAATCCCTCAACAAAAATGTTCTCAAAATCGCCTAAAACCAAGTGGGAAATGAGGGAAATAAAGCTAAGTCCCGTAATAAAAGACTCTTGCACAGGTTGCAGATGTCGCATTTGCGACATCTTGTTCGCAAATTCGAAGGTCGCAAATGCGAAGGCTGGTCGTCTCTGCCATGGTCGCAAATGCAAAAGTGGACAGTTCGCAAAAGTGGAAAAATCTTCGCAAATACAAAAACCTCAGTGCCTACCCAGCTTCGCAAATGCAAATGATTCCTCACAATTGCGAGCTCGCAAATGCGAACAAAACTTCACATTTGCGAGACCTGCAATATCAACCCAGAAACCAGAAAAAACTGAAGTCCTTTCCATCCCTCCGAACGCGTCTGAAACTCACCCGAGCCCTCGGGGCTTCACACCAAACATCCACACAAGTCTAAAAACATCATGCAAACTCTCTCGCGTAAATGAAACACCGAAATAACATCTAAAAGGACGAATCGAACGCCAAAACACATGAATCAAATCATGAAAACTGTAAACTTCTAAAAACACTTCCGTGCGTTTGATTCCTATCAAATCAAATCGGAGTGTCACCAAATTTTGCGTGCAAGTCACAAATGACTATACAGAACTACTCCTAGGCTTGGGATTCCGAACAGACCTGGATAACATCAAAACCTACTTCAAACATAATTTAAAGAACTTGAAAACCTTCAATGCACCAACTTTAAACTTTGTGCGCCAAAACATTCCTGGGTCATCCGAAACCCGATCAGAACATACCCCCAAGTCCAAAATCATCAAGCAAACCTATTGGAATTGTCAAATCCTGGTTCCTAGGTTGTTTACTTAAGACGTTGGCTCAAGTCAAACTTATGCATTTTTAAGCCATTATTAAGGAACTAAGTGTTCCAATTTCATCCCAAACCCTTCCAAATCTGAACTAACCATCCCCGCAAGTCATAAAATGGTAAAAGAACATATGGGGAGTCTTAATTAGGGGAACAAGGATCTATAAAGCAAAACGACCGACCGGGTCATTACATTCTATACATCTTAAACAATCGTTCGTCCTCGAACGGGTCAAGAATCGCACCTGGAGTGTCGAATAAGTGTGTATATCTACTTGCATGTCCTCCTCAGTCTCCCAAGTAGCCTACTCGACCAGTAGAACCCTCCACTGAACTTTTACCCCAGTAATCTTCTTGGATCTCAATTGGCGAACCTACCTCTTAACAATGGCAACTAGCTCCTCCTTATAACCCAGGATCTCATCTAGCTTAACCGTGTTGTAGTCTAACACATGTGAGCTGTCAGCATGATACCTCCAAAGCATACGCACGTGGAAGGCCGGATGAACTCCCGATAGACTGCGAGGCAAAAAACACTCATAAGCAACCTCCCCAACTCGCCTCAACACCTCAAATGGGCCTATAAACCTTGGGCTCAACTTGCCATTCTTCCCGAACCTCATGATCCCCTTCATCGGCGAGACTTTCAAGAGAATCTTCGCATCTACCATAAATGATAAATCACGCGCCTTCTGATCCGCGTAACTCTTCTTTCTGGACTGTGCTGTGCAAGGTCTCTCCTAAATAAGCTTTACCTTTTCCAAAGCATTATTCACCAAATCAGTACCATATAACTTAGCCTCACCGGGATCAAACCATCCGATGGGCGAACGACATCGCCGATCATATAAAGCCTCAAGTGGAGCCATCTCGATGTTGGACTGATAACTGTTGTTGTAAGCAAACTCGGCCAAAGGCAAGAATTGATCCCACTGCCCTTCGAAGTCCGTCACACATGCTCTGAGCATATCCTCCAAGATTTGAACCGTCCGCTCCGACTTCTCGGTTGTCTGCGGGTGAAAGGCTGTGCTGAGCTCTACCTGATTCCCCAACTCATTCTGTACTGCCCTCCAGAAATGCGAAGTAAACTAAGGGCCTCTATCTGATATGATAGATACAGGCACAACATGCAACCAAACAATCTCCTTAATGTAAATCTGGGCCAACCACTCGGAAGAATACGTAGTCACCACCGGAATGAAGTGTGCCGACTTGGTCAGCCTGTCGACAATAACCCAACTGCATCAAACTTCCTCAAAGTCTGCGGCAGCCCAACCGTGAAGTCCATAGTGATATCGCTCCCATTTCCACTCAGGTACAGTCATCTGTTGGAGTAGGCCACCTGGCCTCTAGTGCTCATACTTAACATGATGGCAATTTAGGCACCTTGCTACATACTTAACTATGTCCTTCTTCATCCGCCGCCACCAATAATGCTGCCTCAGGTCGCGATACATCTTCGTAGCCCCTGGATAAATGGAATACCAAGAACTGTGTGCCTCCTCTAGAATCCACTCCCTCAAGCCATCAACATTAGGAACACATAGGCAACCCTTGAGCTGTAGAACACCATCCTCACTGATAGTAACCTCCTTGGCACCATCCTGTAGTACCGTCTCCCTAAGAACCAACAAGTGCAGATCATCTAACTCACGAGCCTTGATCTGCTCGAATAATGAAGACTAAGCGACAATGCATGCAAGAACTCGGATGGGCTCTGAAATATCCAACCTCACAAGTCTGTTAGCCAAGGACTCTATGTCCAAAGCTAATGGCCTTTCCTCTACTGAAATGAATGCCAAACTACCCATTCTCTACGCTTTTCAGCCAAAGGCATCCGCAACCACATTCGCTTTGCCCGGATGATAAAGGATTGTAATATCATAGTCCCTTAGTAACTCAAGCCACCTACGATGTCTCAAGTTGAGATCCTTCTACTTGAACAAATGTTGCAAGCTGCGATGATCGATGTAAACCTCACAAGACATCCCATGACGATAATGCCTCCAGATCTTGAGAACATGAACTATCGCAACCAACTCCAAGTTGTGCACAGGGTAATTCTTCTCGTGGGGCTTCAACTAACGTGAAGCATATGTAATAACTCGCTCCTCCTGCATCAATACACAACCCAGGACAACGCGTGAAGCATCGTAATACATAGTATACATCCCTGAATCAGAAGGCAACACTAGAACCGATGTCGTAGCCAAAGCTATCTTGAGCTTCTGAAAACTCACCTTGCAATAATCGGAACGGAGCACCCTTCTGGGTCAATCTAGTCAAAGGTGTTGCAATAGATGAGAAGCCCTCCACAAATCGACAATAATAGCCTGCTAACACCAAAAAGCTCCTGATCTTGGTCGTTATGGAAGGACGAGGCCAACTTTGAACTGCCTCGATCTTTATGGGATCTACCTTAAAACCTTTGCCCGACACAACATGCTCCAAGGATCCACACAATCTAACTATAAATCACACTTGGAGAACTTAGCATATAGCATCTGTTCCTGCAAGGTCTGAAGTACCACTCTCAAATGTTGGCCGTACTCTTCGATGATACACGAGCAGATCAATGTGTCATCAATGAAGACAATGAAAAACGAGTCAATATATGGCCTGAACAACCGGTTTGTCAAATCCATAAATGTCGTCGGGGCATTAATCAAGCCGAAGGACATCACTAGGAACTCATAGTGGCCATATCTAGTCCCGTAAGGCATCTTTGGAACATCCGAATCACGAATCTTCAACTGATGATACCTTGATCTCAAGTCGATCTTAGATAACACCCTGGCACCCTGCAACTGGTCAAACAAATCATCAATATGCGGCAACGGGCACTTGTTCTTTATGGTAACTTTGTTCAACTGGCGGTAATCAATGCACATCCGCATAGTCCTATCTCTCTTGTTCACGAACGGTGCACCCCAAGGCGACACACTAGGTCAGACAAACCCCTTTGCTAGCAACTCCTCAAGTTGTTGTTTCAACTCCTTCAACTCTTTCGGAGCCATGTGGTATGGTGGAATAGAGATAGGCTGAATACCTAAAGCCAAATCAATATAGAAATCGATATCACGATCTGGTGGCATGCCTGGAAGATCAGAAGGAAACACATCGGAGAACTCCCGAACCACTGGCACAAATCAATTGACGACGTCTCTGCGAACGTATCCCAAACATAAGCTAGATAAGCCAAATAACCCTTCTCAACTATGCATCGAGCCTTCATAAAAGGGATAACCCGAATAGATGCACTGATAGACGAACCCTTCCACTCTAACATAGGCAACTCTGGCATCGCCAAGGTAACAGTCTTGGCATGGCATCAAGAACGTCATGATATGGAGACAACCAGTCCATACCCAGGATGACCTCAAAGTCGTTGGGAATGGACTTCAAAGTCGGTCATATCAAGCAACAGAAGATCCGCTCTAGTCTCATATCCACAAAAAGTCACGACGTAGGACCTATAGATCTGATCCACAATAATAGAATCGCCCACTAGCATGGACACATATATAGAAGTACCCAAGGACACACGAGGAACACCCAAAAAATGAGCGAACAGAGATGAAACATATGAATATATAGACCCCAAATCAAATAGTTCCGAAGCATCCCTATCGCAGGACATAAATAATACGTGTGATCATAGCATTTAAGGCTACTGCATCTGGTGTGGCTGGAAAAGTATACAAACGAGCTGAAGCGCCAACTGACTAGTCTCCACCTCTAGGATGGCCCCTACCCGCCTACCATCTGCCTCTGGGTGGTCGGACGGCTGATGCGGTAGCTGGTACTATAATCATAGGCTGAGGACCCTGCTGTACTGCCTCGCCCTGAAGCCTGCGACAGAACCTCCTCACATGATTAAGATCCCCGCACTCGAAACTACTTCTCAGAACGGTGGACTGTTAACCTGAAGTCTGACCCTGATGGCCTAAATATCCACTAGAGGAACGCTGAACAATTGGTGGACGGTAGGAGCTCTCTGGAATGGCACTAAAATAGGGCTGCACTGGAACACCCAGAGGAGGCAACGATGCTGGATATGTAGGCCTACTAGACTGACCTATCACAAACTGACCTCTGCCCCAGACAAAGCACCACTGAACCCTCCAGAATATCAAAACCGCTTGTCCCGCGGTGTCTACTCTCGGCTCCCTTGACGGACACCCTCGATCCTCCGAGCTATCCCCACAGCCAGCTTGTAAGAAGTCCACATCTCAACCTCTCAGGCCATTGTGGCCTGGATGCCAGAGTGCAAACCCACAACAAATCTCCGTACTCTCTCTCTATCGGTGGGGAGTATCATATGTGCATGGCGAGAAACATCAGAAAATGTCGCCTCATAGTCGATCACCGACATTTGACCCTGTTGAAGCTGCTCGATCTCAAAGCACATCTCTTACCTCTGAGAGGGTGGAATAGATCTATCCAGAAAGACACGTGTGAACTTGTCCCAAGTCAGGGGAGGAGAACCTGCTAGACTGCAGAGAAGATAGGACTGCCACCATCCACGGGCCCTACCCTCCAGCTGATAGATGGTAAAGTCCACCCCGTGAGACTCCAATATCCTCATGTTGTGCAGTCTACCCCTTGCAATGATCAATAAAGTCCTGGGGGTCCTCATGTCGCTCACCTCCAAAGACAGAAGGATGTAGCCTAGTCCATCCATCCAATAGCTTCTGCGGCTCGCCGACCTCTACTAGTCTGGGCTTAGGTACTCCTGCTACAATTGGTTGAGCTCCACCCACAGGTAGTGCGCCCCGGGGTCTAATATTCAGAAACTGCATGTCATGGAGCCTGAGCGGTAAGGGTTTGTGCTCCCCTTCCCGCCTGAGATATGGCTTGGTCTACTGGAAATAAACCAGCCTGAGTTATGGAATCCATGAACCGTAGCATACGGTCCATGACCTCCTGGAATCCTGGTGCGAACAAGAAATTCACCGAGGTCGGCTTTGCTGCAGCCACCTCGCCCTGCTCCTCAATATAGGATCCTCCACTGGATTCACTGATGTCATAACTGGAGCAACTCTAGGATGCCCTCATCCTCTTCCACGAGCTGGAGCGCTCCCTCAGCCTCTACCTTGGCCTCTAGCCACAGAGGGAGCAGCTCATCTAGCTTCGGGTACATTTGTCGTACGTGTTCTCACCATCTGTGAGAGAATAAGAGAAAGATACTCAGCATAATATCAACTGCACGATAGGAGATGAAGAAAGAGTAGTTTCCTAACATCCTATAGCCTCTCGAAGATAAGTACAGACATCTCCGCACCGATCTGTATGACTCTATTAGGCTTGCTCATAACTTGTGAGACCTACGTGAACCTAGAGCTCTCATACCATGTTGTTACGACCCTATTTCCCTTATAGGCTGTGATGGTGCCCAATGACGCCGCTAGGCAAGCGAACAGTGAACTAACCATGTGATTGTTCTTTATAATAATTTCAAGTAGTTGAATTTTATTTATTAAGAAATAATAAGTGGAAAATTTGAGAATGTAAAGAGTAAACTAATGAAAGTGCAAATACAGTGAAATAAATATCCAAAAGCCATAAAGTGTCTACTAGCAGGTTTCCAAGACTTGGTGTCACAATTGTATGAGCAACTAGCAGAATATACAAAACACTAAGCTACTATCTGAAATAGAGTAGACAGAAAGTAAATACAAAAGGGAGACTCTGATGCTGCAGAGCTGACTCAGAAAGTAGCTTGCCACTAAGACTCGGGGTAACGGGGGTGCGCGCCTGACTGACTGCTAGATGCACCTACCTCAGAACCTACACGGTTAGTGCAGAAGTGTAGCGTGAGTACATAAATAACATACACCCAGTAGTCTAACCTGGAAGAAGTAGTGACGAAGGGTCGACATCGACACTTACTATGGGCCAATAATCAAAAGGACAGAAATTCTAAATAGGCATGGAATACATGAACAATAATAATAACACAATGACCAGCAATAAATAAATGGTCCTCTAACTGATATTCGATTTAAAAATCTTCTGTTGACACATGCTAACTTCAACTATTTCAAGCCATTACATAAATTATAACCTCTCAAGTCATAAAAATAATATCAAGTATATTTGGATCCAAGCATTATCATGCACGATTTATGCCGAGGTCGTACGACCCGATCCAGAATAATGTGTACACTTCCGAGGACCGAGCACGAACTATAGATGCATCTATTATACTACCGAGGCGTTCGGCCCGCTCCACAAGAAGAGGAAATACTCTATGAATATCCGATTTAGGAGCTACCACAAGATTAATACACAAGGAAGCACAATTTCTATTAACGGTCAAGTAATCTGCCAAAACTCAAAGTAAGTGAAGTTATGTCTTCTTACGGATTTCCTTTATCAAGTTTCAATGTAATATTGGCACTTGAATTAATAAGTAGAGTGTAACGATACAAGTATTTCATGATTTGGGTCCTAAACTACCTGGAATTAGCATGACTAGTGTTACGCACAGACTCTCGTCACCTCGTACATACGTAGCCATCACAAATAGAAGCAAATAGTAAATTAGAACACCTATGGGGTAAATTCCCTCTTACAAGATTAGACAAGAGACTTACCTCGTCTCAATGCTCACTTTCCGGCCCACAAATTTGTTCTAAGGCCTCAACTTGATTCCGAACAATCCGAAACTAGTCAAATGTTATATAAATTAATCAATACATGCTCAAAAGTTAAATCTCATTTTTTACCAAACCCTAGATTTTTCTCAAAAATCCCATTAATTTCACCATTTTTACATGTTAAATCTACCTATGATTCGCGTATTTAACTAAAGAATTGATAGGGATCACATACCTCTTGATATTGATGAAATTCCTCCACAAAAATGCTCTCAAAATCGCGTAAGACCAAGTGCGAAATGAGGGAAATAAAGCTAAGTCCCGTAATAAAAGACTCTTGCACAGGTCGTAGATGTCGCATTTGCGACATTTTGTTCGCAAATGCGAAAAAACCATCGCAAATGCGAAGGCTGGCCATCTCTGACATGGTTGCAAATACGACCAAAAACCGCAAATGCAAAAGTGGATAGTTCGCAAAAACGGCAAAATCTTCGCAGATGTGAATCCTCTGTGCCAACTCATCTTTGCAAATGCAAAAGATTCTTGCGAGCTCACATGTGTGAACAAAACTTCGCATTTGCGAGACCTGCAACATCAGCCCAAAAACTAGAAAATGTGGAGTCCTTTCCATCCCTCCGAACGCATTTTAAACTCACCCAAGTGCTCGGGGCTTCACACCAAACATCCAAACAAGTCTAAAAACATCATACAAAATTGCTTGCGCAATCAAAACACCGAAATAACATCTAAAAGAAGGAATCGGACGCCAAAACGCATGAATTAAATCAACTCGGAATGGCGCCAAATTTTGCGTGCAAGTCACAAATTACCATACGAAACTATTCTTAGGCTTCGAGTTTCGAGCAAACCTCGATAACACCAATACCTACTTCAAACCAAATTTAAAGAACTTGAAAACCTTCAATGTGCCAACTTTCAACTTTGTGCACCGAAATGCTCCCGAGTCATCTAGAACCCGATCCGAACATACGACCAAGTCCAAAATCATCATACAAACCTATTGGACCCGTCAAATCCTGGTTCCGAGGACGTTTACTCAAAACATTAACTCGAGTCAAACTTAACCATTTTAAAGTCATTATTAAGGAACTAAGTGTCCTGATTTCAACCCGAACCCTTCCAAACTAACCATCCTTACAAGTCATAAAATGGTAAAAGCATGTACGAGGAGTCTTAACTAGGGGAACGGGGATCTATAAAGCAAAATGACTGGTCGGGTTGTTACATTGGGAAGGCATAAAATCGGGGTTGGGCCCCACCACTCTGAACTACAT